AACGGTGTATCTTTGGCTATGTGTATTTTCACCAAAAAAAAAAAAAAAAATGTTGAGAAGTTAAAGGGTTAATATGTTGTGGGGTTGTTAACCAATGTCATAAAACAACATGTGTACTACTGTTTCATGAGAAACTATTTGTTCTCTAAGCCTTCACCTGAAGTACAATAAAACATAAAAAAAAAAAAATATAGTAAAGCAACACTATATGCTTGAGGTTTTATATTTTCTTGTAGTCAGGTATTTCATACATTATTTTAGTAGCAGTAAACCAATAGGAAGGAGAAGTTAACCTCTTAAAATATTATTTCTAAAAGACTGTAGGTTTGCCCACTGGGCTTCTTTGGCAGATACATAATCACCATACTGGAGCATCGAAAGGGGCTTTGGGTGTCGTTTTAAAAACAAGGAAACTAAGCCCCAGAGAGGCTAAGGGCATGCCAGACCTACAAGAAAAGTGCTGATGCTCTTTGCACTAATATGTTCTATTAATAAGCTGAAATGATGTTAAGTCATCCTTAGATGACATGATTGTACAAATGGAAGGAAATGAACATTTGCAAAATAAATACTATAAATCATAGCTTTTTGCACTTTATCATCACCAAAACTCTGAATGTAGGTATTATTATGCCTACTTTCAAGGTAAGGAAACTGAGGCCAATAAAGCTCACAAGCCCAGCAGGGGACAAGAATGGGACTCAGACTTTGGGTCTGCCTACCTACAAAGGCCTGCCTTTTCCAAGATACCTCGCTGCCTTCTGGGAGTTGAAGCAAGAACTGCAGTATACCCCAGCTACTGAAAAGGTCACTTTTTCTCATTTTCTGGCTGTTAAGCAGAAGCTGTTAATTTCAGAGGCAATCTGTTTCAAGATGACATACCTGTTGTGGAGTCAATGATAAAAAGGGATAACATGTCTCCGGGAATGAGCTCATAAGCCACTGTTCCATATACCCCAGAATCTCTGTTGGTGCCAAGAGTACTGATGATCTCAGTGCCCGGCTGGGTCTGACCACTGATTCTCGTCACGTAGGCTGACGGGTTAAACACAGATTGATTATCATTGGTGTCCTACAGTTCCACACGGACAAAGGCTTGGGCGCTTAGCCCACCCTGTTGGAGAAATGAGCAGTGATTACAAATGAATCTCTGCTGAACGCTGGGATATGGAATAACCAGCGAAGATCCTAGAATAGACTTTTGAAGCTACAAAATATATGTGTATTCATTTTACTTTTAGCCTTGAGATGAGTTGATTGAGTAATAGCATGGTATCTATACTCCCGCCCTGACTCTTAAACATTAATGAGATTATCTACTTAAAGGTCCTAGGAGGCAACAATTTCAGAGTTGAGGCTGAAGATGTTCAAGAAAAGTTGTCCTGATGCTAAAAAAAAAAAAAAAAATCACTTTTTCCTTCAAGGTAAGTTTTAACTGAATGTTGGTAAGTGCTGAGGAAAAAGGTATAGGGAGTATTGGTGGGGATGCAATTTCAGTTGCCGTGGAGCACTGAGCCGACTCTGGCTCATGGTGATCCCATGTGTGTCAGAATAGAACTGTGCTCCATAGAATTTTCAATGGCTGACTTTTTGAAAGCAGATCACCAAGGTTTTATTCCAAGGCACTCTGGGTGGACGCGAATCTCCAACCTTTCAGTAAGCAGCCAAGCAAGGTAACTGTTCGCGTCACCCGGGGACTCCCAAAGGACTTTTTAAGAAGATACCATTTGAATAAAGACTGATCTACATGAGGCAGCTAGACTTCAGTTATCTGGAGGAAAAGCACAGCAGACAGAGGGAGGAGCAAGTACAAAGTCCCTGGGCAGGAGTGTCCCTGGTTTGTTCAGGGAACAGCAAGGAAGCGGACGAGAGGCTGAAGTCAGAGCGGTGGGGGCAGGTGGAGGGAGGCCACGTAGACCCTGACGGCCCTTTGTGAGAACCATGGTTCTCGCTGAGATGGGAAGCCCACTGGAGGGTTTTGAGTAGAGAAGCAGCTTAATTCAACTCGGATTTTGACAATGTCACCCTGTGCTGACTGAAAGGTGGCAAAAGAGAAGGAGGGAGAGCAGTGAGGAGACTATTACAATAATCAGGCCTGGAGTGGAAGGCTGCCTGGACAAGGAGTGAAGGTGTTGATGCTGTTGTTGGGTGCCGCTGAGCCGATTTTCAGCTCATAGCAACTCCATGTGATAGAGCTGAACTGCCCCATAGCGTTTCCTAGGCTGTAATCTTTATGGGAGCATATCGTCAGGTCGTTCTCCTGGGGAGCGGCTGGGTGGATTCAAACTCACAACCCCTAGGTTCAGCAGCCAAGTGCTTAGCAATCGCACTACCAGGGAAGGTTGTTGTCATTTTTGTGTGCTGTCAAGTTGATTCTGACTCAGCCACCCTGTATGACGGAGTAGAACTGCCCCTTTCCTAGGCTATAATCTTTATGGGAGCATATAGCCAGGTCTTTTCTCCCGCGGAGCCACTGGTGGGTTCAAACCGCAGCCCTTTTGGTTAGTAGCTGAGGACTTAACCATTCCATTATACCACCAGGGCTCCTCACCAGGGAAGGTACTTATCCTAAATAGTAGGGACCAAATTTGCTTCCGAATTCTTAATTTTTTTAAATTTTAGAAAAGTAATATAATGCATAAGGTAGTGAGAAGTGGATCTCATACTGTTTGTAGCGTGTTACCTCCATCTAAAAACAAGACTGAAGGAGAATAAAATTACGGAAAATAATCTCCTGCAGTTTTTATTTTTCTAAAGCAGAGCATATGTTCCTACTTTAAAGCACAATTTTCCACTTCTATCTGGTACATTTTGACACTTTCATCTTTGACAAATGTCCTTGGTAAGTCACAACAGCCTGCATTTTCTCACTAGCTTATCCTTCCCCCTCCTTTTTTTCTTTTAATGTGGCAGGAGACACTGAGAAAAGAGGAAAAAGAAGTGCAGTGAAGAAGGAGGCTTGGCAAGAGACAAAGGGCGGGCTGCTCTGAGCGGATATGGAGGAAGTTGAGGGGTGAGGGAGGGTGAGAGAGAGTATTGCCTGGGACAAAGTTAACACTGAGCCAGAAAATAGCTTTCACCCTCTGAGAGTCCATGTACGCCAGGCTTTGGGGGCTAAAACAGAATTGGGAAATACATCTTTAGTAACAGTGAAATTTTCCATATTCTAAGTTGAATTAATCACCACCCTTCAGTCAGTTTGTCATACTGCGGTGGCTTGTGTGTTGCTATGATGCTAAAAGCTGCACCACTGGTACTTAAAATACTAGCAGGGTCAACCATGGTAGATAGGTTTCAGCAGAGCTTCCAGACTAAGACAGACTAGGCAGAAAGGCTGAAGATATACTTCTGAAAATCTGTCCATAAAAACTCTATAGATCACAACAGAGTATGGTCAAATATACGAGTTTGGTCAGTGCTGGAAGAAGAGTCCTTAGGTTGGAAAGCACTACACAATAGCCAGAACAATGAACTCAGAAATAGCACTGTTTCCCGGTCCTCCAGCCAGAACAGGGAAGTGTTTCATTCTGTTACACATAAGGTTGCATGAGTTGGAGCTGGCTCCAAGGCAACTACAACAACAAAGTTGAATTAAACTGCCAGGACTATGCCAGTTACAGATTACAGTAGGAGAGATGGGGGCTCACTGCGATTGCAATAAAAACAATGGAGGTGTCATCTAGCTTGTATGCTTAAAGTGCAGCCTGGTGCAGATTTAAATAATGTGTGGGTCTCCCTCCAGATGGAGTGGAATAAGAAGGAACTGCAGACTGAAGAGAAGTGGGTAGAAAATACTCCATAACATTTGACAGATTGCTGTTTCTCAAACTGCCTTCCTTTTCTGCTTTGCCTTCCTCTTTACTTTCTTTCCTCTTCCTTTTATATTTCTCCTCAAGATCAAGAAGTCACTAAGATGGGAAGAAGAGCTGGGAAAGCAAGTAAAAGAAACCAGGGAAGATGCAAAGAAAGGGCTATCACTCTACCCGAAGATCTTAATTCCCAGGTTGTCCACAAAAGTCCTACATCAGTGGCAATGTTACAAAAAATAAGAAAAATGTCAGACAGACAAAGAGGAAAACACAGAATAATGAATTGTTTTGCTGGAGAAGTACTATAGATCTCTGTCTTCCTTTTTTATAAATCCATTTTTTATCTACTGAGTTTTTCAATTAGGAGGTACTTTCCTTTTATAATAATAATTTATGAATGTTTTGTTGTGGCATGATTAATTACTTTTGTGTGTGGCCTTTCTAGCCGTGGTCTTGTAACTCCCACCCACATAATTGGGCAGAACTGCCTAATAGGGTAATAGTGGCCCACCAAGGGGGTTGGTCAGTTTTCCCTTAAAAGAGAGCCAGCTCCAGAGAAGAGAGAATCCCTGCACCACTAAGGAAGAACAGCCAGGAGCCAGCACGTCCTTTGGGCCTGGATCCCTACGCTGAGGAGCTCCTGGACCTAGGAGACAGGAGAGCAAGCTGTAACCCTGAATCCAGGGAGAAGTGGTGGCAGGAGAGACCTGGCGGTAGGAGCCGGTGCTGTGGGCTTCCCGGCCCACGGAGAGAGAAAGCTGAGTGCCTTTAGGGAGAGGCCTAGGGCCAGGGAGAGGCATGTCTGTGAGCAAGGCTGGAAAGAGGCTATCCTGATGGAAGGACTGTATCCTGAGTGTTCCTGAGCCTGAACTGTAACTGTTACTTCCCTAATAAACCCCATAATTACGAGTATGGTCTGTGAGTTCTGTGTGGCCACTGCAATGAATTATGGAACAGAGAAGTACAGAGTGCTGTAGGAAGGACAGTTGGTGTCAGAGTTGGTAAAGACGGTGGAGAGAGGAAGTGTGTCTGACTCCACCTCATGGGAGTCAGCCTTGGGCTGTTGATCTTGGTTCTCCTTCCCCCTTGTGGGGTTGGAGGAGATCAGACCCTGCCCCCAAGCCGTTTTTACAATGTTAAGTGTGTTTTACATATATTTTCTCTTTTGTTTCAATCACCTTTTTTGGATTTTATTGTTTCCCTCTTATTACACATTCTCCCTATGTCCAGGCCTGTAGCTTCTAGAAAGTGGGTGGTCTGGGAGTCTGAGCTATCTAATCTGTAAAGCAGGGTTACTATCTACCTTATAGGCCTGCTGCTGGAATGCATGATATAATGTGGATGGAAGCATTTATATATAATGTGGATGGAAGCATTTATATGGTTAATCACCAACAGTATAAGATCTTACAGGCCCCGTATCCTAAATACTTCATATCAGATTTGTTTAAGAATTCTGAGATTTCCAAGTTTTAGAAAGGTAATATAGTGCATATACCTAGGTGGGTTGGGGGCAGCAATCAGTAATCAAACACTTAATATTCTGCAGCAAAAGGTATGAATAGGCACACTTAGAGAGGCTGAGAAACCATGAATAGCCTCCTGTCAGTTCAGGTCAGTTTTCTCACCAAATGAGGTTTAAAAACTCCATTCTGAGAATTTTGACATTTCATAACTGCAAATGAAAGGCTGGACTTTTAATATTTCAGACACAGATGTGTGCTACAACCAAGCTATTAGCATTGAAAGAGGGAAAGCCTCAACACTGAAGGGGTCCTGGAACTTGGTCTTCAAAAGCAAATAGTATTTAACAAATAGCTACTTCATGTGAAAGTAGCCTAGAAAATGTAATGAGATTAAAAAAAGAAATGGGAGGTCTTGACATGTTGTAGGCAGGGTAAGCACACTAGTGTGCCTAGGGGGAATGGTGGGGAGGGTCTACAAAAAGGCTTACTAGTTAGATAAATCTAAGGTGATTTCAACACTGCAGAGGATAGGCTCTATTCTGCATACCGGTGGACTCCAGTAAAAATGTACTGTGTATACCAGCCTCAGTGCATATGTTTTTATTTATTAATAAATTATATATGCATTTACTGTGCTAATTTATTATTTATATTGAAAACATTATGAAAGTAAAATTAAATGGAATAAAATTCAAAGTTCTAAAGTTTTCTTCCTAAGGCCTCATATAGGACACTATTGCTGTAGTTAATGAAGTGACATGATCAAGGCTAGGTTCTAGAAGGAGATATCTGGGATAATAATGAAGAGATGTTCCTTTTTTTTTTCTTTTTTTTTTAAG